AACCCAGTTATTTTTCATCTTGATAGATTCGATATTTACCAACATAATAATAATACCTAGCTATTTTTTCTATAATAACTTAAAACACCTTACAAATGAATCGCTTCTTGTTAAAAGGGAACATGTTTCAACAGGTGAACTTTTGGGAAATGATAAAAAACTGCATAACTTTCAAAATGCGGTAACTTTGTATTTAATTTTTTTATGTGCATTATGACGTGCATGGTACTCGACATTTATACCAAATTTCGATACTGTAAAAATATTTAATTCATGTTTGTACTAGTTGAAAGTTGCAAAAAAAAAAATTAACAAAAAACTTAGCATCTGCCCTTTTAACAAAAAGCGATTCAAATATATTATGTTTTAAATGATTTTTTTTACAAAAATACTATTAGATATTCTAACAATAATTATTATAAAACATCGGCTTTTACAATATGGCTTTTTCAATGTGGAAGTGATCGGGCAAATTTCAAACACGAAAAGGTTTTTTTTTTTGTTTCCTTGCAAAGTTCATCAAAATATAAAATGATCCACTCGGAGAACTCATTCGCTTTAACTGTTCAATATACAGTCGTCGGAATCGGTTGAAATTTCCTGGGAATATTTTACACAATATAATAAACTGTACCAAAATGTCAAAATTGCATTAAATTAAAAAATTGTATTATCACAACAACTAGACAAGTAGATCACCTAACCAAAAAAAAAAAATTGTCTAGTTAATATTTTCATGACTTGTGTAGATATATTTTATACTTTTGTAACCATTTCGAAAAACGTCCCTGGATGTTTTTTGTGCGTAACGGTGATTTTTTATTGAATCCACACAACACATTGCGAGTACGAGACCGGCATAAATAGGTGATATATATATTTTATGTGTGTGTGCATGACATTAAAAAACGCAAATGATATATGGCAAGCACGTGCGGTTAAAACCAAAAACGTCCACACAAAAGTTGAAATATACTCAATGGCTTTATATAGTATTGAAATATCTATAAGGTTCTAGGGATTTAAATGCCTACTAACTAAGCAGAACAATAATTAAACCAATCGAACGTTAAACCTTAAATATGATACTGAATGATGTTTAAAAACACAATATTTACTAATACATTTATAAGGCCAAACATTATTGTAAGTATTATCGACCGAAACGACCAAAAACTAATACAGGGTCCGGCAAAAAGAGCTTCCTTATTATTGTTGCTAATAAAAACCAAACGAAATTTGAAACACAAAAAGACAATGTATTAATAAGAACCATACATAATGCGGTTTTAAATTATTTAGCTTTAGCAGTCAGCCCCGGATGGTTGATTTAGACATTTTGAAACATAAGTCAATATATCTATGGGGACCCCTTTTCAAAAAAATTAAATCAAATTAAAAACACCTCCCTAAAATTGTTTTCCCCGTTTACTGAACGTAGCCCCTCCTTTTTCCAAATTATGGATCCAACGCTGCTGTCGAATAGCGTGTGAAAAATAGACAATAATAGATGGTATTATAATAAATTTAAAAAAAGGTGGTACGAACTTCGGGTTCACGTTTGTTATTCAATTAGAATTTGAGTTTTTTATGACACGTTTGAAATCCGGCGCGCTAAAAAAATTACCGCTTGTACATTGTTCTAATTCGTCTTACAATCCTATTGTTTTTTTATACTATGTATCTGCAGTTATAATAATAATAATAATATATGTGTTCTTATTGTTGTGATTTCTATATAACACTATATGGCGAAGTCGAATCGGTCGGCAATGTGTCGTGATGTGATCTCTCAACATTCTAAAACCAATTGATTGTAAAACGGTATCCAAAATAGGAAGAAATGCCCCCGGGTATACAGGGTTAACACAAATGTATGTTACAGTAATGTTATCTATGAAATCATTATTTTAAAATATCAAACAAAATCGTTTTTGTATACGATGATCAAAAATTATAATTACTATTTATTAATTGTAAACGGCAATGTTAAAGGGTGACATTCAAAAACTAAAAGCGACTTATGTATTAATTATTGATACTTTATAAACCCTGTATATGGTTGGAGACTGGACGATTTTTTTTTCTACTTCACGAACACAGTATTTTTTTACTCTTGAACAGTTCATCGATATAGTGAATTCGCCTTTTAGCGTTTTACGGTCTACTCGCATTCACCTTGCACGGTCGTTGTATTTTTTATATTTTTTTAGAATAAATATGTTTGCCCACATATATGTTAGGTAAACTCAAACAGCACCATGTTGTCGTAACTGGTATTATTATTGAACACGAACCTCGTTATTTGTATACATTTTGGTCAGTGCAAATAGTGTGATAAGTATCCGCAGTTGCTTGGTGGACGCCATTCAATTTTGAAGGGTTCATTGACTATCCTAATTTTTTTTCCTATGCCATAATGGTTTGTCAACATTTCTGAATAATTATCCAATTTTAAAAGTTCGAAATTCAAAATATAATCGTTTTTGGTAAAAAAAAACAGTATGAAATAATTAAAAAAACAACATGATAGAAAAATGTCCCGTTTGGATTCGGACTTTCCTACTTACACAGTAATAATATGTTTTTAAAAATGGCATGAAACATTATACAATTACCAATAATAAAAAATGTAATTTTATCAAATGCTTCAAGAAAACAAAAAACATTTTTTTTTATCAGTATGCAATTTGTCTACGAAAATTACAAATTTCAACTAAAATAAAACTAGTCGGATTTCTTATTTTTCAAAAAATATTAGAATTCACAGAAATTTAGTTTTATTTTAAATTCGATGTACAATGTATGTTTGTTATATTTGTAATCAATTTGTAAAAAAAATTAAATGTGTTTTTGTAATTTATCAAAAAATCATTGCAGTGTATTATAACAACTAATATGTTTTTTATACATTTTATAAATTACCAAAAATGAAAGTAATATTTACGATAATAACAGACAAATAACCTTAATTTCACTAAAAAAAAATGAAATGTACGTTAATAATTTCTAAAAAATGCATTTATTAACAAATAAAGACAATATCCTAATGTAAACATTTAAGGTTATTGGATTGTCGTCGTCACTTAAGGGGGTGGCGAATTTTGAATTTAAATTTGTGTTCTATAAATAAAATATTTTCTAAAAAAGGGTTATCCTTACACAATTTAGCCGGTGAGCTCAATAAAAATCTAGAAAAATAAATAGCGTTTGTTCTTAACAAAATCGCCATTTGTATAGAAATTGTTTTGCTATTTTTACGAGTATACTTTAAGTGAATATAATATATATATATATATTATATATTATAGAATAATAATATTTCTTTGGTTTGCAGCTGTCATGTCCAGTAAAAACCACGTGTGGGTCGAATGTTATTACATACAGAATTGAAATTGCAATTTAGCTCTTAGCAAAAACACAAACCGGTTTATAAGTTGTTGGGAAATTCGAGATCAAAACTTATAAATGGCGAGTCAGAATGAACGAATGAAAAAAAAAATAACATTAAAAGTGCATCCATCTGTATAATAATCTTATTATGATCGCATAATTATAATCGTCAAGTCACGTATGAAGCTATGTAATTATTATTTTTATTTACAATCCAACCCTTTGCTTGCTGGTTGCAGTCCAACTGAACTCGTATATCCTCGCCTTTACTAAAAAAAACACAAGTATTGATTTATAAAAAAAAACTCACCATAAAACAAAGAAGGTAGACAAGCGTATAAAATATTAAATACAACAATAATTATTTCAGACTGGCAACAAGATATTAAATGAAACAATATTTTGTTAAACCGTAAATCAATTATTTTCTTATTCTTTATATTTTCTTATTTCATATAACTAATATACCTACTACTCAAAACGATAAATGAAGTTTTTAATTACTGGTTTTACATGTTATCTTAATGTTGTTTCGTTCATCTTCTAGTAAGTATTTTCTGGTAAAAAGTATTATGGTGTTGCCGCTATTCGGTTTAACGTTTCAAAAATGAAAAATAAAAAAACATGGCAATTTTTTTTTTAGTAAAATTTAAACGTCAATCAAACAGCTATCGAGTATACTATTTGTTGACATATTTTATTTATTGAACGCGCAAAGAATATTCGGAATTATAGTATTGAACGGGAAGCGCATTGTATTGGAAATGAAATCAATATAATATTGTTCTTTTACCGTTCCCGGTCATCCTTTGTCTATCCAAGAAAAAAATAAACTTTTCTGAACTTTTGCCGACCGTTCATAAACTTTTCTTCGATTTTGTATTTTATGCTACATTAAAATTGTACTTAAACTAATTTTTTCTAAACGAAAACTGTAAAAAAAACTGAGACTAGCTTTTTTTTGACATGACTCTGTCTATTGGCTGGAGGTCAGTCGAAAATTAGTGTACTGTCGGTTTAATGACGGAGGGAAGAATGCAAATGGGGAAGTGGGGGGGATGGCAGAAACAGAAATTCATGGTCCAATGTATTTCCTTTAAGGTAAAGATTGATTTTTTTTATAACGGAGATGAACGCTATTCGAATATTTTTTTGTTTGTTTTAAATGAATAAATTACTGATTACAATTGAGTTGCAGAATGCCTGAAAAACTTAACCCTCAAAAAAGTTAAATTTCTTTTTATTACATTAAATATTTTAGGACAATATATATTTTAAAACCAAACTGATCCAGACGTAACAAAAAATTGATCCACTAAATGGCAGAACCTAATTTGCTTGGAATTGGCATCTAGAAAATTACAATTGGCTTTTACTTGAAATAATGGATTTGTGAATCGCGGTTTTCTGACTCTATGCGCTTCAGTTATATTATATTATTATTATTATTATATTATATTATCAACCGTAATCGTTAATCAGATTCGGTTTGCCCTACACTGGCTGTAATAGACTTAAATGCATTTTTTTTTTCATTACATATTTTCAATTCTTTTTATGTATTCTTTTTTTTTTCCGTTTTGCTAATTTCTCTATATGTCTTCCAGCAGCGTGGAGGGCCATCACGACCAGCTCCAGGCTCACGCGGACCCTTCGGACGTGACCAGGCATAAGATCGTGGTGATGGGAGCCGCTCGCGTGGGCAAGTCGTCGCTGATCACGCAGTTCCTGTACCGGAAGTTCTCGTCCAAGTACAAGCGGACCGTCGAGGAAATGCACCACGGCCAGTTCACGGTGGACGGTGTGAAAATCGACCTGGACATACTGGATACGTCCGGGGCTTATGAGTTCCCGGCGATGCGCGCCCTGTCCATATCGTCGGCCGACGCCTTCGTGCTGGTCTACTCCGTCACCGACCCCGACTCGTTCCAGCAGGCGGCGGCCATCCGAGATCAGATTATCGAGACCAAACACACTTCCGACGTGCCCATTGTGGTGGTGGGCAACAAACTGGATCTGGCCAATACCGACAGAAAGGTAAGCGCCAAATCGTTGTAAACAAATCTAATGAAGTAGCGTTGGATAGCCCGAAAACGGTCGGTTTGAAGATACATCAAGAAAATGTGGATTTCACAAATATTCGTGACAATCCGCATGGAATTCACGAGCCGTGTCCGTCGATCACACGGGGAATCCATACCATATTAATATCCCTCAGGACTGACTTAGAACTATGTGGGAATAATAAAAAAAAAACTCCCGGAGGTCCACTCTATAATCTCAGGTATCTCGACCTGGAAATTCCTCAAGAGGAGCACACCACAGCATAAGGTTCCATACTTATTTTTGGGACTTCCTGGCACCTCCATTATTGTTCATATATTACATTGGCCCACTACAACTGGCCACATATCTCGAACCGTCTCTCTCCAATTTCCGACATGAGTCTTCTTTCGCTAAGTGTTTTTTATTGATATTAATGGATTAGTTGTTTCTATAAATATGTTGCTCGTAACACCAGTCATTGTAAAACTGAAGCAAAAATTGATTTTTAGCTCCTACGTACGTAGTATATATTTTTATAGTCTATACATAATAACTGCACACACATTAAAGCGGACGAGTGTACATGCATAATATAATAATTTTATTCGTACCTAACCCAGCCGTACAACGATCGAGTTGCCCCATAAAAAATTCATGAGGCTAATTCATTTATACATATAAATATGTTATATGTATATGAAAAATCCTATTTAATAGAATGGGATATAGGGGATATAAAAGCGATGGTGTGGGCGTTAGGGACGTCACGATGAATTATTCAAGTGGGGCACTTTCAGCAACAGATGTATATTTTAATCAATGAATTTTATCAGCTTCGGAAAATCGCGCTGGGAATCGAAACGATTTATTTTATTTTCCCTTCGGACTTGGGTGACGTTCTTTTTTTTTTTTTATGCCTTATATTACAAACGCCTTTGCAGTGACTCGTTGAAACGTAATAAACGGCTCAAAAAGTTAAATTACCTTACATAATATTTATATGTTTACTCTAATAAATTATATAAAGAGATTTACGCATGTTTGTGTGTTGACTCGAAACTCTGAAACTGCTGAACCATTTCTTGCTGATCCTTTCCTCGTCTTACACTTAACTGTAACTTATTGCTTTCTATTATTCCATCATATAAAAAAAATGTTTTGAAATAAAATTAAAAATTTTTTTTTGTGGAAAAAGACACATAATAGGAAGAAATAAGAGAAAATAAGGGATATCAACTGATAAGAAATATGATTGTGATGACAATGGCGATTGACAATATGATGCAATTTTCGATTTACAGTATATTTTTTCCTAAAAAAATAATTGTTTAGCTGGAAAAGTTCCAAATAAAATCCTTATTATATTTAACGATCAAAAATTATAATTTATATTTAAGTTAAACATATTATTTCATAGAGTACATATCAACGGACGATTTTTAAATGTCGAATAGTGATTCATGTATTAGATTTGCCAATAAAAAGTAAATGAAGTATTGAAAATAATAACTGCTCAATAACCAGCTTTGGACTGTGGAAAAATAATAATTTCATCGGAAGAATCATTTTAACATAAAATTTGGCTTACACTGTTTATTAATTAGTATAATATGTATTTTATATATTTATATACAAATTCCACAATATAGTAAATTGTGAATACCAAAGAGTTCGTTATCCTTGTATTATTATTCCAAAGCAAATAGGTGATTTCGAGTAAAATTCGTGCTTGTAGTAATCATATTATTATGCATAATGAAAGCTGTACGGTATGGAACCAGAATAATAATAATAGTCGTTAAATAATATAGTTTTAATAAAATAACCAAGTAATTAAATAAATTATACAATTTCGGGAGATGGTATTTTATGATTACCACAGTAGTTGTGTACCACGTTTGTGTTGCCACCAAGTTCTTGTTGTGCGACGAAATACTTTCCCGAGTAAGTATAAGTAAATGAGTAATCCTAAATAAACTTAACTCGATTTATTACCCTCGAACGTTTACTTGGAATGTGCGATTTGAACGGTGACTAATTATTATTTAAACCCGACCGGTACACTGAATAAACATTAATTGTGGAACGTTTACTTGAAGTTTCAACGTTTGGAATTTAGATTAATAATTTAATGACGACACCCTTCGTTTGGATGTGTGTACCTATTAATGAGCGTGTATTGGAATTCTATCAAAATGGCTAAGGAAACATTTTTAGATTCAAAATGTCAAAACCGAAAAATGTGTAATTCCCATATTTATTTTACAACATCAAATAACAAACCAATAATACGAAATAGTACAATACATTTTTATAGTTAAGCTTATATAATATTTAAAAAAAAACATTTAAATTTTATTACAAAAAGAAGTTAGCACTTCTTTAATAAATAATGTGGAGACAAGCAAAAAAAGAAATTTCATATAATAATGAATTTATAATAATATTTTAAAGGAGATCAAAATGAAAAAAAAATGTTTCTGTGTGTTAAATGGGCGGTTTTCATTTGTTTTCTTCAATAAATCTTTCCAAAAAAATGATAAACTGTAAAAAAAAAAAACTCAGATAGAAACGTGTTTCATTGAAAAAAACTAATTTTTGAAAATCTGTCGCTTTTACTTTTCTGGATTGGAATTGTTTCAAATAAATATTTATACTTAAATTAAATTACAAGAGCAATTACAATAAAATACTAGCCGAATAAAGTGTTTATTGTTCTATAGTTAAGCTATAACCTAAACAGGTTTAGGTTCAGACATTACTTCCTAAACATACAAATATATTGATATGTTATTATTTTAAAAAATATGTATTGGCAAGAGATTAAATGTATTAAAAAAAAGTTACTCACAAAATGTTGTTTAAATAATATAAAAAGCATTATATTTTGCTGTCTAGGTCAGCTGGCTAGATTTTTTGGGTTAATTTTCACGTGCAAATTCGAATCTAGATAATTTTACCTATGAATATACATACACTGCTGCTATTATTGCCGGTTTATAATGTCAAAGTAAATTTGTACACGTCGAGCCAATGATCGTTAAACGCCGAACAGTTTTTGCGGATACCGAACGTGGCGTGTAGGCTCGAAAATTTAAATCATACATAATATTATATACGCTAGACTAGCCATATATTTTTATATTATTATACAAAAATATATAAACCGAAAGTAAAATAAAATCAATCGCGAAACCGCCGCCGCGCAAAGCAATTGAGCCGTATAAGGTCGGTTTACGTGACCCCAGGAAATCAAACATAATAATAATAAAAAACACTTCGGTAGCCATTAAATTAACATCGACAAGAACATTATTATTCATCAATAGACCACTTGTGTCGATGACCCCAGAACAGGTGCAGCTGCTGCAGGACCTGCTGTTTTTTGTAAACAACCGTGGAGGTCGTCCGCGGTACTACAGACGTGTGTCGAAAGATTATAATATATATATATATATTCATATAAATATTTTTTATTATTATTATTATAATAAAGAAGAAAGAAAAATCACCACACCACCATAATAGTGTAACCACAATTGGCCGTTTCGAAGAGCTGGAAATAAATATAATATATAGACAACCGTTTCAAAACCGTAACACTCATATGCGTTATGGCCAACCGAAAACATACCTACATGATAACAAAAAAAAAAAACACAATATAGTACTTAAAAAATAAAAATTGAACGATATTGACAATCTAACAACCAGAGATGGGCATTGATACTACCAACACACAATAACTATTCTTGTGTATTTAAAAATCGGAAAAGTACAAAAGCATTTTCAGGACCAGTGGCGGCGTATCCAGCTATTATTTTCTACTTGAGGTTACTAACAAAAACGTTTAATGAAAACTAGGCAAACTTTCTTTAAATTGATAAGTTTATTATTCATGTATATATAGCATGAATTCTCTACACAACCCAAAAATAACAACCGAATAAAGTTAATCGTAAAAGAATCTAGTAATAGTACAAACTTTACTATTAAAAAAATCTGTTCCATCTTGAAGTAAGAACCTGTATATTATTATATAGGTATATATATATATATATTTTTTTTTTAATACTCTTTCTGACACTTATGAAAAAAGATTACTATTATTGAGAATGAACGACGGACGATCGAAATCTAAATGCACGTTTCAAATGTCTGTTCAGACTTTTTACTACAAATAAAACGCCGAAATTGCACTTATCGCCTTATATTGTTAAAAATAATATAACAAAAATGTTGTTTTCCCAGACTGCGTCCTAAGTTTCAATTTTAACGAGCAAAGTTTCAAAATGTATAACCTGCGAAATAGGTACAATGTAATTGATGTAATTATATTATTTTATAAATATATATTATTATTGTTGTTATATTATAAAGCCGTAGTAGACTATATTCATTATTAAAACGTTGCAGTTTCGCTTAGAAAATTATGGTTAAACTCTAATAAATTATTATATTTGTTTAACTAAACCGAAATATTTCATAGAATTTTGACTCGGTACACATTTCTCCAAGCACCAAAGCAATTATAACCTTTTATAAGTACATTACTTTATTATTAAAATATTGCTCACCAAAACTGTGAAATCATTTTTGTGTTTTCTTCGTACTGTTAAAACATTAGACAAACATTACTCAAGCATAATATATCATTAAAAAAATTCCAAATGATTTTTGACATAATTTGCTCAAAAAAATAAGGATGATGATAAAATTAATAGTAATAATAAACTCGAAGTATTTTCGGTAAGTTAACTTACAAATATTTTGCAACCAGAACCGAGTTATGTCGATCTGTTATGATTGTTCTCATTGTATCAGAATTTTTTGTTTCAGACTTCCTAAAATAATATCATTTATGAAAAACTTAGGCAACCACATGTTATTTTTGTTCTTAAGAAATCTATCATCTACCTGTCTATTTCCAATTGCCACCAAATAAATATTTTCTATATGTTAAGTACTCGTCGGGTGTATACTCGGTTCAA